TGTGAAAAAATGAGGTCTTAATTTCAAAATTAAGATGCTCCGCATCGCACTTTTCGATTTTAAAATCGAATTGGTTTAATAAATTTGTAAATTGCTTCAACTCAAAAAATAAAGTACTTATTTTTTCTGAATCTGAATGATTATATTATTTTTAGTTAAATAATCACCATATCCATAAACAAATTTACGACATATTTTATTTAATAAGACAAGACAAAAATATCAGTTTAAACAACTTTAAAGTTGTTTTAAATTGAACGCTCTACAAAAAAGGTTTCTCATGATTTTTTGATAAATTTGATCCTTCTAAAGAAATTTAAGGTCAAAGTTTAAATTATACGAAATTTTTGGGTTTTTTAACTTTTTTGGCGAGTGACCCCGACTCATTTAAAAAAATTTGAAATATTTTTTTAGAGAATTGAACGCTCTACAAAAAAGGTATAAAGTCATTTTTCTGTAAGTTAACTTGATTAAAAGTTATTCACGGTTAAAGTGAAATTAACCTTCAATTTAGTCGTTTTCTCGAAAAAGCTCCTGGATTTTTGAGTTTAAAGGGCTAAAAACGAATCGAAATATTTTTTTTGAGCTCTGGAAATTCGAAAAAACATAACTATCGATATAACGATCTTGAAAAGCTCCATAAATAGTTTGTTATTCTTTTTTTTAGAAGATGACGTTTTAACATGGAGCAGTAATGATACTTACAAAGAATGTTTGAAATTTTACAATATTCTAAAGGTCACCAACGATGTAGCTGAACGAGGCGTCGCGACACCTCGCTTTGATTAAGGAATAATATATTATAACAATTACAATTAACTCACTAAAGATGAGCAACAACAGCAACCATCGACAGAGATATCCTAAATGCAATAAAACAACTCTTCAGCAAGAACAATTTTAATTAAATTAAATTTTTTGTGTAATAAAATTATAGGTGAAATAAACATATTTGTTAAATAGAACCGCTTGCCTTTTGATTTACATCATAAAAAATTGGAAAAAAGAATAACGCTGCAAGCTATTTATGGAGCTTTTCGAGATCGTAATATCGATAGTTATGTTTTTCCGAATTTCCAGAGCTCAAAAACAATATTTCGATTCGTTTTTAGCCCTTTGAACTCAAAAGTTTTTTCGAGAAAACGACTAAATTGACGGTTAATTTCACTTTAACTTTGAATAACTTTTAACCAAGTTAACCGAAAAATTACTCTAGACTTTTTTTGTAAAGTGTACAATTCTCTCCAAAAAATTTCAATTTTTTTTAAATGAGTCTGGTAGACTCGCCAAAAAAGTTAAAAAACCCAAAAATTTCGAATAATTTGAACTTTGACCTTAAATTTCTTTAGAAGGATCAAAAATAGCAAAAAATCATAAGAAACCGTTTTTGTACAGCGCTCAATTCTCTACAAAAATATTTCAAGAACTTTACAGTACGACCTATTGTTTGTTAGCTACAAAAATAAAAAGAAACAAAAATAATTTTTCCCATGTTATTCTTATGGAAAATCGAAAAGTGCGATGCGGAGCATCTTAATTTTGAAATTAAGAGCTCTTTTTTTCACAGGCTCATTTTAATATCTATACCACACTTTTGAGCGTGGTTCCGAAAAAAAAAACAAAAAAAAGTTTTTTTGAATCACCCTAATAAATATAATAAATATAAATATAAATATAAATATGATAAATAGTATATTAAAGAAATATTTGTTACTAATGGGTTCTCTTATAATGTATGTCTCTTAAAATATTATTGCTATTTTTCTATTTTTCAAATTACTTACGTGCTGCCTGCAGAGGCTCTCCTTAAAATCAATCAATTATTCAAATTAAATTAATGAGATCTTGTATTTTTTAAATATGTACTGACAGTCTTAAAAAACCATAATAATTATATATTTAAAAGGAAGAAAATTAAAGAACGAAACAAAACTATTTTTTAGTTTTGGCCGAGCCGAAGTTACGGACAATTTTTGGTCGAAACAGAAAATGCCAGCATTTTTAGCCAAAACCGAAATTTTTGTTGGTCACTTATTTAAATTTGAAATAATAAAGCGTTACCTTAGCTGTTATTTCACGACCGTTGTTATGAAAAAAATTAACAAAGTATTTGCTGCGAGCTGTTGATTTAATAAAAACAATAAATCATCATAATTTTGTAATTAAATTTTAGCTTTTAATATTTAAAACATGTTTTATATAATTTTAAATTCTTAAAACATTAAAATAAAGTAAATAAAACTAAATTTTTTTAATACCTAAAATAAACCTCCTACAGTGTGAGACACCCTGCATTTTAAATAAAATTAAATAATTATGTTAGTGGCTCCCTTAAATTGTACTTTTGGTTAGTAATCGCGAAAATAAAGTTTTAAAATATCTCCGTATTCTCCATCTCACTTATGAATTTTATATTTATATTATATAGATATATAGGGTGTCAAGTAATATATTGTCATCACTTGAGAAGCGAGCGTCGAGAGGCTTGAAGTATAGTCGGCCCGTTAAAATCATTCACAGCAGTACCAATAAAAACCAAAGTTAAACAACTGACCGACTCTACTTTGTCTGTAGCACTAATGCAAAAGTGATAGATAAAAAACTTGCAACCTGTATAATATACCGTGTACTGGGTGTTATGTAATTAATGTAATATATTAAAATTGGTAGTTCCTTAGGGTCCATAAAGAAGCACCTGAAACTTTTTTTCTAAATTCTAAAAAATAAAAATAATTTATAATAACCTTTATCCCACCAAAAAGTACTCCACTGATCGACTAGGAACTTTAGGCTAATCTGGTTGCCCAATTTAATTTATTATGTTATGGTGGGTAACAACCAGCGTTTCCAGATTCTTCCAAGTTGCCAAGCTTTATTTAAATTTAGCTTAATTACAAAAATGACAAAATCAACAATGCAAATTGTTAATTAGGCGTTTTCATTAATTGTTTATTATGTTATTTTTGTAATGAAGGTAAATTCAAACAAAATCTGGCAACTTTTATGACAGAATCTAGTGCATTTCTTTTAAATTTTAGGTTATGTTCTTAAATTGTAAATATCTTAACGAAGGATCTTTTGGATTTATTTACACAAATTGAATGTTTAACTTGTGAACTTGTCCTAATTTCATCTGAGTAAACAGAAAGAAAAAAACCGATGATGATTAATTTTGTGGTTATGGAGTTTTTAAAATAGGTACTAAATTTTCTAATCATTGCTTAAGCTAATAGCTGGATGAGAAAATAAATACAGAATGGTATTAGAGCTATAAGGGCATATTAATTAAAATTTTATTTATTTTTTTCAAGAAAATAGCTATTTACATACCATGGGAGGAAAATAGTGCTTTTCCTCCCTCGAATAGTTTAATGACCTCCTGAGGTATGTATATAGTTTTTTCTATTACCTTTTATCGGTTTTAAGACATTTTAAGCGTTCCGGTTCCTTTTACTAACCCGGTATGGGGCTATAAAATTATGACAAAATATTAAGTAGGTGTTGCGTCGCCGACGTTATGCTGACAACGCTTTGTTGCTATGGTATTTTTGGTAATACAAACATAACAGTTTTTATAAGCTGTCAGAATGTTTATCATAAATTTGAAATTCTTCCTACGTTTTGAAAATGGGTTCTAGCGAAGAAAACCTTCCGCAAGATCTTACTAAAGAGGCAAGAATAGTTGCAATTAATTTCCTTTCTTAAAAATCGAAAGAGCGATATGAAAATGAATATATTTTGTTAAAAGAATGGTTGGACAAGCGCGGAGTAAATCTATTTCCTACAAAATCAAATAGGGCTAGACAAGGTACAAAAACTCTTGCTAATGTAAAATTGTTAAAAAAAGAGGGATGAAATTTTTTTCCTCCCGAGGAGGAAAAGAGGCATTTTCCTCCCTCGCTCGGGGGTGGAAAATTAGTTTTTCTAGTAAGGTAGTGGAAAAACAATTTTATACAACTGGCAATGAGCAGCTACTTTGTTGGTTGGTATCTATGTACTCACAGAATAAAAGTGTGTAACCAGTGGCGTATCACAAAAAATATAAAAAACTTCTAATGCATATTTTTGCTTTATCTTTAGGAAAATATTTTTTTAAATATTTTTCCGTTACACCTTTTTTCAAAAGGTATTCAGTATTTTAATATATTACATTAATTACATAACACCCTGTATATATAAATAAAATAAATTGTATTTTTTATTTTATACCTGTATAATATACAGTGTATATACATCACAAAACATTAATATAGGTATTGATTGCATGCGTGATAAAAGTAGAAAAATTAAGTAACTAAAACTTATCAAATAAAAAAGTTCTTCAATCAAAAAACCTCCTAGGGTGGAAATATTTTTTTCAAAAACTGTTATTAAGTATATTGCAATACAAGGTATAAAACACAGTGATTCCAACAAATTTGAAGTTTGCTGTCCGAGCGAAGCGAGGGATCTACTCACACGAGTTGAGATCGCTGTGTTACATACCGAGTAAGGCATATTATTTTTTTATAGCAACTTTATTAAAAATTCAATTTGCGGTAAGCGCATAAGACATAAAATATTCAATCTGACAGATTTGACATTTGTTGTATAATAATTATTAATATTATAATATGATTTTAAGTGAAACTAAAGAAACTAAAATCGGATTTTCAGTAGAGGTGCTATGAAATATTTTTTCACCTTCTAATCCAACCCCCCTTTCTACTTTAAATAATTATTATAACTGTACGTTTTATGTATTGTTTAATAAACAAAATAATGCCTTGAAGATAAAATATTGTATGCCATGCGGCTGAGAAGTCTTTTTGTGCTTTGCTTAATTGTAGGCCTTCGCTACGCGTCGGCATTCAAACTTTAAGGTCAACACAAAAAGACACTTCTTAGCCTTATGACATTAATGACTATTATAGATTAAAACAAAAATCAAAAACTAAAATAGAAGAACAAACTCATGCATACCATGATTGAGCGGAGGGGATTGGATGATGGTAGTCCACTCACCAAGTAGAAGCGCCTCTCGCATTTCCTTGATGGGCAGGTTCTGCACCACATCCCTGTCCCCCCTCAATAGTACCGGCGCCACCGATGCCACGCATTTTACCTTCATCGAGCCCCCCAGGAAGTGACGACTGCTCAGCGTAAACCGAAGACCCAGTGTCGATGAAACCAGGCCCTGCTTGTGGTGACTTGGTGGGTACTGAATCAAAGCTTCTGGGGTCTGAATCTGAAACAAAATTAGGTTTATATTAAACCTCTCTTTGGTCACGATGTCATGAAAAAGAAACGACAGAGTAATTTTTTCATTCAGATAAATATTGTCTTTCTTTTATCACAGTACCGTCTTGATGTTCGAAGAGGTCGGATGCGTCAAGATCCCTCCTAAGTGGCGTATACGATACAAACGTAAAATACCAAAAACGAAACAAAGTATCCGGAAATGTCGGTGATCGTTAATGAATAATAAATAAATACATAAATAAACAAAGCAAGAAGTGCGAAAATTGTGAGATAACGCCGTAAAAGTGTGCAAGTGAATAAGTGCCTAATTGAGGCTGGGCAGCAACGATAAGTCAACCGGCGCACCTGGATCGGAGCGTTCCAAAAATGTCCTTTTTCTATGCAAAAACCTACAGGAGAAGGACACCCCGCGAAAGACAAAGCATCAGGTTTATAGCCTAATAATCAAGCTAAGTAATTCTTCTAATTGCATGTCTTACCGTATAATCGTTAAATGTTTATATAAGCATTTCACAATGTTGCAAAAAAATCTAAGAAATCTATTCGTCTTAAAAATTAAATTTAAAAAATAATAAGAACATTTCCGTAACTGTTAAATAAACAACCTATTTTCTCATAGTAGACAAACGTAAACAACCAGCGTAAAAGGCGTAAGCAAATAAACCAATTCAAGCAAGAAGACAAAAATTTATCATAAATAAATTTAGGGTCACACTCATAAATCAAGCCAGGCTAATACACGGAACTCAAGAGCCAAGCAGGCAATAAGGCCGCATTCCACTATATGCACTACAGGGCCGGCTCTATTTTGAAGATCGATATTTACATAAAGTGATTAATTAATTAATTAATAAATTAATTGATTGATTGATATTGATATAATAATATTGGTATTGGTATTGATGGTAATATTGTTGGTATTAGTGTTGATGTTGATATTGGCATTATAGATATTGATATTAGTATTAATATTGATTGATTAATTGGTTGATACTGATATTAACGTTAATATTGATTAATTGATTGATTGGTTGATATTGGTATTGATTATTTGTATTATTTGGTATTAGTATTGGTATTGACTAATTGAAATTTATATTGAATTTATATAGATACTAATTTAACAGGAACCAGGCAACAATTGATCATTGCAGAGGGCAGCGTGCGTGTGTGAAGGGAAATATATTATATAATATACACATAAGCTCACGCAAGCAATGCTTGGAGGATGGAGAAAGTAAATGGGCAAAGCCCCCACGTGAAATGAAGTGGTAGGCCATCTATTGAGGCATGCGTTGCACGCCTGACATAGGGGCCGGGTTTCTAAAATTGATGCGATACACCACAGGGCCGGCTTTATCTATTTTGTATATTAATATTTTTATTTTTAAATAATTTGGAAAAAAATAAGTAAGAAGGCAAAGATATAAATTAATGAAAACGGTATGATCACTAATATAGCAATAAAATAAATAAAGAATATACAAGGTTGGTAGCCGGAGTAAGCAAAAAAAACTAACATACCCACCCCCATTCAGGAATACCAAATGAATGGGGTTATTACTAAAGCCCTGGTTTAGGAGGATTCCGGATTGTACTTAGTTTTGGGTCAGTTCAATGTCCTCCAAAAGCCCTTCCTAAACTGGACGTATGGCCCGACCCGGCTGACAAAAATCCCGGGAGCTGCCTTAACCTTTGACACTGTCATCCACGAACTCCTAGGGTGGATCTACCAGCCGTCGTAAAAACTTCGGATCCAACAAACACAGGTAATGCTGTGATTTGGCGGGGTACGCAGGAGAACGGAAAGGGGGTAATATAACCTCGGGAGATCAGTGGATGACAATATATCTGGGGCTTGCCATACGTTCCCATACTCATACTCATACTCATACTCATAAATATTGTCTTTCTTTTATTTTATGTGAGTGAAACAAATCCACAATGAGAGCAAGCTACCACCTACTAGCGTTACCGCTACTTATACCTGAAGATCACCGTGGGAAACAAAAGCGGAACGAGGGACAGAGACTGATATGTACAATTGGCGTCTCCGAAATGTAAACGGCAATTTAATCGTGTAATATTGGCTTTGCATCAGTGTCGTCGGTAGTTGTCAAATTTGATAATAGTTGTCAATTTCAATATCAAAAATGCCACCCCACGTAACTGAGGCTCAAAGATCTAGGGCAACAGCCAAATTAGAAGAAAATTGGTCTTTAAGTAAAGTGGCTGCAGATTTAAATGTCAGTAAAAGCTGCATATAAAACGTTGGCAAGAACAACAAAGATTGAGAAGACCTATCAGGCAAGGTGTAGGTAAAATATCCAACGAAAATGAAGACAATGCTCGAGGAAGATCTTTTTGCACATATTAGGCAAAATACTTTCAATAGCGCAGTTAAGGTCCGAGAAGATACTCAATTTTCAGAATCTCTTCGAATAGCTCAAAAAAGATTGAAACAAGCTGGCTTAAAAAACTGTGCTGCTGCTCATAAGGTTTTTTTAACTGCCAAAAATAAGCGCAGGAGAGTCCAGTTCGCCAATGAATATCTAAATTACGGAGAGGAATTTTGGAATATTGTTATAATTTCTGATAAAAAAACGTTTCAATCTTGCAATAATGAAAGGCTGCATGTATATCGTCCAAGAGACGTAAGATTTGAGGACAACTACATAAGAACATGTATACACATTAAGAACTTCAAATAGTGGAAGCTTTTCCATAAATGTTTGGGCGTGGATAAGCGTCCATGGTGCGGGAATATGTTGATAGTAGATTAACGGCTGAGCACTATACGACGATTTTAGACAACGTTATGCTACCTTTAGTTGGACATGTGCACATGTTTCCAGAAAATTTTATATTCCAACATGTTAGAAAAATGTATACTATACAGTGTATACTATACACTGTATAGTATACAAAAGTGATTCTAATAAATATTATATTACAGGACAATGCACCCATTCACACAGCTTGCGAGGGTAAACAACAACCACATAACTGTTTTACCATGGCCAGCTAGAAGTCCCCATTGAAAACGTGTGGGGTATTATAGTTAAAAAATTAAATCAACGAGACTTTAGTTGGGAAGAAAGACATTTAAATTTGCAGCTATTTACTTAAAGACCAATTTTCTTAAGCAATATGTTAATTTAGTTAGTTATTTATATTTTTTATTTACCTACTTGTTAATATTGTTAAACAAAACCAAATTAATTATTAATTATTTGTTATATTTTTTATATTATTGTTTGTTAAAATATTATTAAGAAAATAGAAAGATTTAGGATTTTGTTTTTATTCTTAGAATTCTTTACTCTATTTGTAACACCACTGGCCGAAGCTAGGAGTGGATGAATTAATTTTATGAAAAAAATCCATGAAAACCAAAAATCATTCACATTTCAGGGACGCCAATTGTACATTTAATTAATCGCATGATCAATTGCAATTGCAACACATTAACATGTATTAAATTGCAAAGAAATTTAGTCAATTTTGGGTACGCAATAGCTTACCTAAACAAAAAGCACTTAACCACGTTTAAACCAATAAATAAACATTTAGCGCCTACAAAGCTTGTTTAAAAAGTAAAAAAACGTATAATCTCATAGACAAAGCATAGTGGGGTAGAATATACTGTGTGCATCGGTTCCTAATTTCAGAAAAAAAAACAAAGATTAGAAAATATGGCTAAAGACCTGGAACAAGCACTTGAATTTCCACAAAGGCAGAGCGGCAAACGAACATCCCGCTGTGGAAGAAATGGTTTTCGCACAGTAGGTCAAACTAATCGTGTACAGCGGTTTCCAAATTTTTAGAACAGTTATTTTTAGTAGAGACACGGATGCAGATGAACAAGAAGTACCTCAAGATTAAAATAGGCCCCCACAGGCCCTACAGGCCCCTACAAGCTCCATTTATGAACTCTAATTGATTTTGGGTTTTACTGAATTCCTGATTTCGGATTGTACTTAGTTTTGGCTCAGTCAATTGTCCATAAGCCTAATTGGGCGTATACCCCGGCCTGGCGAAAAATTTTCGGGAGGGTTCTTAGCCATGGACACTGTAGTCCTCGATCTCCAAAGGGAGATTTACCAGCCGATGAATGAAGTTGCAGGAACTCTTATATATGGGGAGCAACCTGGGGCACTACGTTGATACTCAACGGTATACCAGACTAAGATCTATGCCAACCTTATCTGCGCCCAAGAGAATCTTCAGGGAGGTTACTCAGGTAAACATTAAGCAGCACTCCGGCATCTTTCCCCATAAAGGGTCAACTCGAGACTTTCGCTGGACTGCATAAAAAACCTAGAATTACTCAGTGTGCTCAACAAGGTCACCTTAGTCTAGGTATCGGGTAATCAAGGTATCAAAGGCAACGAGAAAGCAGAACAGCTGACTCGTGAGGGCAGTAAAACCGCCTTTATAGAACCAGAACTTGCTATAGGGGTTGTCTCCTATCAGGTGGAAGCTAAGATAAGAAACTGGACTAACAGCCAATTCCAGAACGAATGGAGAGAACAATAAACAGTCAAAGGTCTTTATAAACTGCAAAGAGGCAAAAAGATTTCTGAAACTAAGAGTCAAATATCACCTGCACAAAACCTAAAATAATATTTAATTGCAATTTCAATTATTGAATTTAATATTGAAAGGAAATGTTTCTAACACCGTTGTTGACCTTTATATATGATTATCTGCAGCGCTGTATTTACTCAAAACGAATGTATTACTAATAAATTTGTATAAAGTTTGTGTATAGAATATTTGGTATGTTTTTATTTTCAAATTCCAATTTCATGTAAATACTTTTAAATTAGATCCCTATTTTAAATTAATATTCCTATTTTAAATTACTTCAACAATTTAATAAAATATTCATAGTAAAATTATGATTTCTAATTTTATCTATTTTGCATTCATAATGACTTCATTGTAACACCGCTTTCGGTGCTGTAAAGAGGTACTTTACCCCACCTAAAATTTTGATTTTTTTAGGTTGGCTACTTTAAACAGCATACCAGTAAAATAATATTTTGCATATTGGTTATAATATTTTTATGATTTTTCTAGACTTTTGTGGCAATAAATTTTGTTTAACACCAAAGAAAATCCTTTTTTTCTTCTTTAACATTAACAGCCGCTTATTGTAAATAAGTAAATTAAGGACGCCATGGCGAATCGATTTTAACATTAACCCTTCAAATGACTGTGATACCAACTATCTAAAGTAAAATTCGACCAAATTAAATATTACGTATAAAATTAATTTTTTTATAGAATTTTTGCAAAATAGATAAAAAAGCATAAAGTACTCATGTCATAAGACCTTTTGTCGCACTCGTCCATTACAAAACTCGCTCCTTCGTCGTCCTCGTGCGACAAAATGACGTCTTATGACATTAGTTTTTTAATATACTATTATATAATTCCTGCACATCAATTATTAAAACAATAATGGCATTATAAACTTAAAAATTCTCATTTTAAGCAATTAAACACTGAAGACTACTTAGCAGAAGTTACAGGAATTAGTTGTTATTGATATATGTAAGCAGGTAAAACTACATCTAAAAACGCGGTGTAAATTTAATTGATAAATTGCAGTACCAGGGTAAAGTTTCGTATTAACGTTCATTTAGCAAATTTACTTTAACATGATTTATAACCCGGTGTGGTTTCTTTAAACATACCTAAGCAATAAAGACACAAATGGAAAGCATTACTATTTCGAGATTGTATCAGGCCTTATTCCATATAACAAGACAATTTAAGATTTTTTTGTTAAAAAATTAAGTTTTTTAATTATGTAAATGGATTTTTTTTCTACAGTTTCGGTCATATTTTCTAGAAACATTGATTTATAAATTACCATTTTTAGGTATTGAAAAGAAAATATCGAATTTTGGTCCCAGGAATTTTAAGAAACCTGATAACCATTTTAGGTATAATCTTTTTGTTAAATAATATCCAAAGAGTTAAAAATATTGTTAAAAAAATTTGTTGAACGGACAGTTATCTAAAGTTACCTAAAATATGATTAAGTAATTTAATGTCCCCAAATTAAGGAAGGAAATGGTTTAATTTCCAGATTATGTATTTTTTGTTAAAATAATCATGTTGAGCTACTTTAATTAAACAATATTAAATAAATTGCTATTTCCAATATTTGCGTGAAATAGTGATTGAAAGATATCTGTTTTTAATTTAAAAAAAATAAAATTGATACATCAAACTGTATACAAAACTGTATACAGTTTTGACAATAAATGCTCCATTATTTTTTTTTCTGATTTTAGAACTTAATTAAAAAAACGTTTATATTTAATAACCAAGGACCTTCATCAGAAATGCCCTAAAGAAAACCTTAAAATTAGCGACACAAAAAAGAAAAGTATCATGATCCAGGGACGATACGCACGAATTCCTATGCATTTTGACGCGCTAAATCCGAATTCGTCATCAGAATTGGCCCAACGGGTCTTGGTTTGACCCCAACCCAAAAAAAACCTTAAAATTAACTACAGAAAAAAGAAAAGTATCTTGATCTGGGGACGAGACGCATACATTCCTATGTATTTTGACGCACTAAATATGAATTTGCCATCAGAATTAGCCTAACGCATCTTGGCCATTACCTCTAAAAAACCTAAAAATTACCAAGACAAAAAAGGAATATATTTATAACAATAAAATGTTTATCCTGTATTAGTTGAAATACTAGTATACCCATTAAATTATCCTAATGATAATATCGTGCAAGTGGTAGAGAGGATTAGTTTAATTAGGATACGAACCTGTTGTTCGTTGATGTACCAATGTAGTATCGAGGCCGGATGGCTCCTGCCCGAAGTGCAGTTTAAATTGATCACGTCTCCTATCTGATACTGAAGCATCACTCCCGTAATTGTCGGATCTTCCTGCGGAAGAGCTGAAACAACGGATCCCAAGTTGTTCACAATTATATTTTAAAATGATATAACGAAAATCATTATCTTAAATGTATAAAATGCATTCAAGCTAATATAAAGTATGCTATAACGCCTAAAACCATCCAGATGTTGCTTTTTATTCAAATTAACTTTTATTTTTAACTTATACTTTTAAACAGATTTAAAAAAACTGCAATTCTGTTTTACGTCACATTATTCATATTACTAATTTGAGACAGATTCAATTTTAATGTAGGTATTGTTACAAAACAAATACTTAAATACTTGTGTAATTTTATTACTTAAATTTTGTATTTTGTAGTAGTTTTAAGCATTTTGGACAATTAACGATTACTATTTTTAATATCCAAACTACCTGAGTAAAGTATTACCTTTTTAAAATTTTTGTCTATACATAAAAACTGACTATTTTAATAAAAACTTTATACTGTGAGAGGCAATCACCTTGTCGCTGTGCTTTTATTTTAAATGTGCTTTGCTTTAGGCATCGAAAAACAACCTGTTTCGGTCTTTTGGGGTCTTTTGGACCTCATCAGTATCGGGATGTCATGTGGCGCATCCGAAAAAGATGACTTATAGCAAGCTACCGCAAAAGCGGTGGCAACACAGTGAACAAGACCTCTCAGCGTCATCTCGTCATTTTTTGTTTACTGTGTTGCCACCGCTGCAGCACGCTGTTGCCGTAGCTTGTTAATATAAAACAACAAAAGGCGTCTTGTTTGGATTTGCTTCGCGCCACATGGATACCCGGCACTGATGAGGCCCAACCAACCCAAACAGGCAGCCTGTAGGTGCCTGGAGCAAGGCACATTTAAAACAAAAGCACAGTAACGAGGTGCCAGTGTCTTACATTTTATGCAATACTCAAGTAGAAAATCATGTTTGACAACAATTATATTATTTGTCGGGTTACATGTAGGTAACAATTTGGAATAGTATCTCTAATATGGAATACCAGCATTTCTCTAAAACAAACAGTCGAAATCGCAAAACAAGATTATCTTATATCTCTTTTACTCACTTTATTATCACATTCATTTCATCTAGTCCAGCAAGCGTTGATGTTGTGCAGGAACTGTTTTAATTTTTGCGATAGAAAATTTCCTTATGTGATTTATTGTTAATTATTTGAAAATAGCAATTTAAATATATAGTTATCATCTTGTATTTATGTTTAATTGTTTGTGTGTTTTTATTTGTAAAATACGAAAACAAATTTAAACCGGTCTGAAATCCCTCTTATGGAATTTATACCACCAATTTTTTAGGCAAATAATGTTTATTAAATTTATTTTTATAATGCTTTCGAATAACCGTATAAAAATGCAATGGTTTCATAATAACTGCGCTGATACACTTTGACTAGTAGATATTTAGGAACCTATTTTATATTTGGGTTTCTTTATGATCTTTTGATTTTTGTAGGTAAAATTTTGATAATGTTAATTAATAATACAAATATAATACTATAAATGATGGCTAAATGTATGACTAAATACAAGTAAATTTAAAAGTACTTACTTTTTTGTCAAAAAAATAAATATTTGGCCCCTTCTCTTTTGAGACTAAAATTTATTGTCAAAATATATATATCTACATGGTGTACCAAGAATCCTTTTACACTTCTATGGGTATATTGTTTATTTCAAGAGCGGTCGGTTAAATAAGAAAAAAAGCACATTAAAATTAAATTTATATTTTGAAATAAAAAGCCAGCGGTTCTCAATATATTTGAAAATACTAAAAACCTTTCAAAACCAAAAATCACTATTTACAGAAGTTATAATTTAGGTATTTCTGGGAATCTTGAAAGTAAGTTTTACATGTAAATATACTCATTAATCTACATTATCATTAAATTTTTTTGTTACTATATTTTAAGTTACCATCACCATCTTTTGTTTGTATAATGGCGGCCATAACTTATGTAGTTTGTTACATTGTTGGATTCCTTGATTTTTTCCAATCTAAGCATGTACATTTTCAATATGGCGGCCATGGAAAAAATAAAATATGGTGGTGGTAACTCAAAATCTAGTTGACAAAACAATTACAAATTGCATAATAATATAGATAAATGTGTATGTGAAACTTTTTTTAGTTTCTAGAAATAACGAAGGTATAACGATTTTTGGATTTGACAGGTTTTCAGTTTTTTTAATCTATTTTAGAACCGCTGATTTTTTAAAAAAATTTAAACGCCTTTTTAAAAGACTTGTAGTTACGCAACTTTGTTTCTAATTTAACCGACCTTGTAGCTCTTTAAATAAAAAAGATACCCATACATAGAAGGATAAGTATCCAAGTGGTGCACCCTGTATAATAGTCAGTAGAATAGCACAGTAAAATACTTAAGGGCTGAACTTAAATATTTAAATTAGGATTTCTTTTTTTACCACAGGTCAGAAAAATTTTGATATATGCAAAAACTTTTTGTTTTCCTGCGGCATTTAAGTCTAAAATGTATACCCCGAAATTAGGGGGCCAAACTTAAACAGTGCACTGTTTATGTTTAAAAAATAACACTTTTTTGTTTAATAAATTGGCACACTTGATTTGAATCGCTTAGATGTACCATTTTCGAGAAAAATGCATTTATAAATTACTCTGCATAGCATACACAATTTGTATTAAACTTCTCATATTTTCATTAAAGCTTTGTAGTAGGCGTTGGGACAAAAATGAAGTTTTCTGTTATACTTTACATTATTGTAATAGTTTAGTTTAATGGCTTAATTTTGTTATTTTTTTATTATGAAGTGATTTTCCAAAAGGAATATAGCTGATTTCATTAAATTTCATAAAATAAATTTTATAAACGTTATTTTGGCCCAATTTTGAAGCTCTCCTTTCTTTTCGACATAATTACATGTGGAATGGCTATTATTATTATAAAATAAAAACACATTGGTTTAATACCTAATTATGTATTGCAATATGAACTACTAGGAACTGAAAAATACTTATTTACTTAAGTAATTGTTCAAACAAAGTTTTATTTTGTTGAATGCACATGCTGGACCTTTTTATGATATTTTGGGTCGATCAAAGAATTTCGAACCGGTTTTCTTTAATTTGATTTTAGAAGCTCTTAGGGGCTATTTACTTCTATTAAGTAAATAATATTCCACATATTACCCAACAGATAATAATCCAAAGTATATCAGGCGATCGAGCTGGCCAGTTTACTGGGTCACCTCGACCTATCCAACTGTTTGGGAAATTATTATTTAGCCAGTTCCTCTCATGATGACCAAAATGGGCTGGCGCCCCATCATGCTGGAAGATCATGCCTAACCAAGTCTGATAACATTGTCTAGCAATTCTACCAGTTCATTTTGAAGAAAATGTAAATAATTACACTGTTGGTAAATTTTCAACTCTTGAAATATCACAGCTAAACGCTCGGACATGTACACTGAAAGAAATATATACTAAAGTTAAATAAAAAAATAATTAGGGCAAATATATTTTATGTTTCATATATAGACTACCACATACATTGCTAAAACAAATATATTCGTTTGGTTAGCAGCCTATTGCTGCCCTAGCAATATAAATGGTGTTTCTAGCAATATTTTTTTGCTGTAATTCACTTATAGTTTACATTTTATAGTAAGGGTAAGTTTATTTTTATTTAGATCTAACATATCTTCTTTACAATAAATGTATTACAAAATTTACCATACATTCATAATAAACAGTAGTATAAATGTGTAAAGCACTAGTATAAAATTTTTAGTATAAATTTGTATTTACTTTTAGCAACAAATTTCTTTCAGTGTAAACATAATTTTTGGTCGTAGATTTTAAATCCGTGCTCGGTTTAGCTGTTTTAGGTTTAAAAAAGTTTTTCCTATTAGCAATCTGATCCAGGGACACACTGTATTATAATTTAAAAAAAAAAATATTTCACCTCTTGTGCCAATATTATATATAGGAAATATCCTCAATTATACTCAATAAAAAAAACCATCAAAAAACATTTTGAATTTCTTAAATTATCCAAAAAAAAAACCTCAGGGACACGTGTTCCTTTTTATTAATTAACCACAAATTTTGCAAGAGTTTTGTTTTTTGTTTTTTTAATTTGTAACTGATGTGTGGGTCTAGCCCAATTAATTTTTTTTTAAATTTATAAATAATTAAATATCTTTAAATTTTGACCTGATACAGCTAAACCAAGCACGGATTTGTAATCTACGGCCAAAAATTAAGTTTACGTGTCCAAAAGTTTAAGTGTTATTAGCATTAAATCTATTGGGCAAAATAATAGGACCTATTCATTAGTATTCCTTATGAGACCAGACCATACATTGAAAGAAAACCTCTGTTGAAAGTGACCCATGTTCCACTAAATTTCTATGTATAGGGCTAAATACTTTTCGATGTGCTGGTATTATTGCTTTGCAACTCTCGTACAGCGACACATTACCATTGCAGAAACCATAAATAAAATGAATATCAGCTAGTTCCCTTTTGGAAAATCGCTCCATATTAAAAAAATAACAAAAATCTGGCCAGAAAATTTTAAGTATGCCTTTTAAAAAATCGCTTCATAATAAAAAAATAACAAAAATTAAGCCAGAAAATGTTAACTAAACTATTACAATAAATGTAAAGACAGCAAATAACCCAAACGTCACGTTTGTCCCAAAGCCTACTTCAAAGTTTTAATGAAAACATGAGATGTGTAATACAAATTGTGTATTAATATTATTATTATTTGCAGTAATTAATGAATACATTTTTTTCAAAAATGATGTATCTGAGCGATTCAAATCAGGAGTCCCTATTTTTCGTAAAAAACTATAAATTTTCCTAATTTTATTAAAAAAATTCAAAATTTTTAAATTTTAAAAAAGTTTGTAACTTTGCCCTCCCCCCGAATGTTAGGCCTAAGATTAAACAGTTTTGATCTAAGATTCAGCATGTCAAAATTACCAAAGTACCCAAAATTCATTTCTTCATGTTCAAC